ATATTAAATTAAATGTAAAGGGCTCATGACCTGAACACATAGCACAGAATGAAAAGAAAAGTGTCCAGTGACTTTAGAAGTATAAAATAATCAACTCTTTTTTTTTTACCTTCATCTAAAAGGCTCCGAATTTTACCACAACACGGGCACACCAGACAAAAAAAAAAAGGCCAGTATAAAAAAACATAAAGATGTAAAAAAAAAAATGTACAGTAAAGAACAGGACTGACATGACCTCCTCTGGATAGGGGGGCAGAGTAAGGACTCGATTTTTGCAGGACTGACATGACCTCCTCTGGATAGGGGGGCAGAGTAAGGACTCGATTTTTGCAGGACTGACATGACCTCCTCTGGATAGGGGGGCAGAGTAAGGACTCGATTTTTGCAGGACTGACATGACCTCCTCTGGATAGGGGGGCAGAGTAAGGACCCGGTTTTTGCAGGACTGATATGACCTCCTCTGCTTAGGGGCAGAGTAGGGACTGAGGTTTTGCAGGATCACCATGACTATGAGCAGTAGGGGATCAGTCACTCCTCAGGTAAGTGGTTACTAATACTCCTGATTTTTCTTAGCGAGGTTGTAAGTGAAGCTGGAATACCGAGGATTAAACTGACACCTCACTGCAAACAGAACGGGTGCCAAGTTTTGTGATCAGGTTTGGCTGCCTGGATCTGAGCAAAGGTGTGCAGTTTATTTTGGTGGGGGAAACCAAAAAACAGCCAAATAAACACTGAAATAAAAGCCAAAATGTGACTTACCTGCCAGTCTGATCTCCCCAGCAGAGCCATCATTTGGGGGTTCTATGGGGGGGATAGTTACACAGCACCGCTTGCGAGCCTGACTGTTACCTGTGCAGCAAAATCACCTGGACTAGGTCCCTGGGGCTGTGCGCATGCGCTCTGCTGACTGACAAAAAAAAAACCTTGGCTTTAGAGAGCATCTTCCAGCCCCTCTGTGCTACACCTCCCCCTTTTTTTATCCGGTTTAATCTCACCCCCTGCTCTGAAGTCTCTCAAAGAAAGTGACTCAGGATCGCTGGATGGGGGTGAAGCAAGGTAGTCTATTTTTTGGACAGATATTCTAAGGAGAGGACAGTGAAAGGGACGACATTGCAGTTGCCCGCTATCGTGCAGCCCTGTCCCCTAGTCACCCCTCCTGCAATAA